AGTGGTGGGCTTTTGGTTATTTGGTGGTTTGGTTTTTTTCTTCTAAGCATTTTAAATAGAAAAAGGGACTGATCTGGACTCTGTGGTTCAGCCTTATCATTCAGACCATTTGCAGGTAGAGGCACAGAGGTTTGACTGTTTTACTCCTAGAAACATTTGAGACAGCAGTTTGGGGCGGATTTACTGTCTCTCAGCAGGTCAGCAGACCGGGACCCTGCTGGTTCCCGCCAGCAGCGGGCAGGCAAGGCTGCCAGGCTGCCCACCGCTCCAGCTTACGGAGCTCCATCCTCCATCTCCACCCTCCCGTACCCCAAAGCACACCACCTTTTCAACCCTAAGGGGCTGCCTTTTCTGCGTAAGGCGGGAAGACGCATGATGTGAAATTTCTGCTGCCTTCAGCGTTTCAAGCGCAACCCAGAGGAACGGCACAGAAAGCCAGCGCCAACGCAGGGTCCCTCTAGGAGCAATGACGAGGGGCTCGGGGGGACGAGTCCCAAGCAATGCACAGGCTACCAAACCCCATCTGAGACACATCTTCCCCCTCTGCCCACGGTTATCACCCTCAGGCGAGAAAGCGTTTGGCTGCTTGCCAGACAGTATGCTCAAAATTCAGATCCCAGGCCAAAATACTCCTAAAAATTAGGATTCAAGTCTCACTAATCATCCAAAAGGGGACACACAGGGCCAGAACTGGATTCTAGCACAGCTGTAGTCCTCAGCTCAGACTGTGGGCTGGTCTCTTCAGGGATTAGCAATTAATGATAAATGTGATATTCAAGAAGGTTCTCAGGGGAGCTCGAGACAAGAAGCTCTAGGAATAAACCTGTTGTGCTGAGATATTTGCCAAGGTTTTCTAGAACCTGAATTAACACCAAAGCAAATCCACTTCTTACGTAGGCTGGAAAACGTTCGCAACTCCTCACGTCTTCTAGGAGGAGAATCTCAGGTTTTATTTCTAACGCTCAGCTCACACCTTATCTGGTCTGCCCACAAGCAAGTCTTGGTCCAGTAAGCCGGATTTCCAAGGGAACACTGCATACATTTGAAAACTTTTAAATTTAAATGAAATACGATGACCACCACAATACATTCTTGTTGGTGTCAGTGATTAGTTACCCATAGGGTTAAAGACCAGCATCTCATTTTAAATTTAAATTTGCCCACTCTCAGTTTTCCATCATTACCAAAAGGCTGTCTCAGAAACTTTTCCCCCCCCATGTATCAGGTGCTCATCAGCCAAGTGCACATCTGCACGTGGACCCAAGGCAGAGCTGCATGACAGAGGCACTGTGCCGGTTTACAAAAGTGCAATACCTGGCCTTCTACATCTGAAAATACTTCTGATTGGAGAAAATTGAAGCAGGCTGTGGTTGATCCCTCACAATCCCCTCTTTTGCTAGATGAGAAACACTCAAATGGCACAACACAAAACAATACTTACTTGCCAACACCTGTAAACTAACTACTGCAGGTTACACAATGACATTTTCCCCACTAAATCCCACTCTCTTCAGTTCAATGTAGGCTGGCATCTGCTTGCAGGATTTATATCAAAATATCGTGAATCAATAGCAAAAAGAAACAGATCCCTTACAGTTCTGTCTCTCATTTAGATCAATGGGATATCAGAATAAGAGGCATTTTATGCCCCATTAAATCATGCTTGACTACATCCCATTAAATCATGCTCACAAAACACTCTATAAGTTTTGAGAGGCTGGGGAAAACCACCTAACATATGGCATTGGGTTTAATTTAAGGACCTCGCTGAGCTCCCGTTGAGAAGCGTCGCTTGTCCTTAAAGAAGGGAGAAAGAGGGTTTACTCCATCCTTGGTCCAAGGCTCAGACACATCTTTTTTCACTTCAGAAACAGACTTGACAGACTGACCACAGACACCAGCCCCGGCATAAACCTCTGCCCGGCACGCCCATGAACCAACTCCCAGTGTCCTCACCACCCGTCCCGCAAGGACGCCAGGGAGGCGGGCAGGTGTGGAGGCCACGGCACTACTGGACTGTGGACACTTTCACCTTTCTCAGGTACGAGATCTTTATTCTACAGGAAGCCCAAGTTTGCCATCAGGAGAACATGCAAGGAAACGCATGAAGTAACATATATATACACGGAGGACATTTTTTACTGTGAATTCTTTGTAGTTACTGCTTTATGCAAGAAGCCATTCAGAAACAAAAGAAGGATGAGAAGGGGAGATGGAGGAAGGGGAAATATGGCTGAGTTTATGCTGAACAGCTTGGCATACATCAGGCCGCATTAATCAA